TGGTAATCCCTCGTTTATCAAGGTTAATGGGGACCAAAACCACCCGCGATAAATGAAAATCCGCGAAGTAGCGTCCAATTAACATAAACAGGTAAAACTTTTTTTTTTAAGTCCGCAAACGGTCCACGAGAAGCTGCAAAACAACAGCGAGTCACATAGAGCAACATATACAGTACTGTACTCATGTATGTTTAAAAAAAAAAAAATTAAATTAATTCAAATATGTTTGAAAAAATCCGCGATGTACTGAACCCGGGATAAACGAATCACGAAGTAGCGAGGGATCACTGTATATGTGTGTGTGTGTGTGTGTGTGTGTGTGTGTGTATATATATGTATATATATATGTATATATGTGTGTGTGTATGTATATATATATTTATATATGTGTGTGTGTGTATATATGTGTGTATATATATGTGTGTGTGTGTGTGTATAGATAGATATCTATATGTAGATTTTTTTTTTTTATTGTTTAGGAGATGCAGTTGGCTTCAATTGGCCACCTGTTTAATTGATGGTAGTACTTGTGTTTGCTAAAAACAACATCACTTCAGAGCTAAGTCCACCACTGTGGAATTCCTCCTTCGGTGGATGACATCAACATCCTATTTGTAGCACATCAACATTCACTCCCTGTCATGTCTTAGTAGTTTTTTCCTTGTTTAATTCTGTCTTTAAGGAAGCAATAACTGCTGCATTATCACTGCCGTTGAAAGTGAAGTTCTGGTTTTAAATATCATATCAGGTGCTTGCTTAATCAAATGTCCAGCACAGAGGAAGGAATTAAAATGTATGGGAAAGTAAGCAAGTGCATCTTTTGTTTGAGACTCTACCTCTAAAAGCACCTGGATTCATGGCCACATACGACTTTTAGTCAAGTCTCTGTGCAGTGCCAATTGAACATTTGCATTCTACTTGGTGCAAAATGACAGATTAGTATTTTAAGTCCTAGAATTTTCCCCATCACAAGGCTGACAAAATTATTAATTTTGTGTTTTTGTTTTTTTCTTTTTTTATGCCTTCGAACTGTACAACAGTAAAACTGATGAAGTAAACAGAGATGGATACCACATTTTTATATTCCAGAATTTTTTGAATCCTTTTCAAACTTTCTATTTAGAGCGTTGTCGAGAGTTTTTGATTCCTTTTGGCCAATGAAATGTCTTCATGCAGCACAGATTTCTGCTAACTACTGTAAGAGCTTCCCCAAACTGGATTTTGAATGACTACAGTCACTAAACAAATATCTGTAGATGAACTACCTGTTGTGTGTAAATTTAATATATGAACATTTGTTATCATACATGTTCCTCATCAATGTTTTGGGATTTGTTTTGTTTCTCACTGTCTTAAGAAGGATGCTTTATTTGACAGGGTAATTCAAGTGAATGAAATGTCTTAAATAAATTCTGCCTCAATATGTCAGCACTGGTATCTCTTTTTATCGTTGTCAAATACAGTATACAGTATCTATAGATTGGATGAAGCTTATGTATATTTGTGTTTTCCTGAGTTGGAGAGTTTTAAATCACTTTTAGGAAATGTAATGCCTTAATCTGTCTTGTTGCGACGCAGCAGTACAACCAGTTCTTTGAATCTTAGAAGAGACCCCGCCACTGGGTGGCCCCACAATATAGTAACAATAATGATTTGAACTGCAGTACAGCAGTTATTTTCTTACCAATTAATGAAATGCAATTAATCTGTTCCAGCTCCTGTAACGTGTTTTTCAAATAAGAAGAAATACCACTCTGCAGTATTTAACTTTATCCAATCATACAATAATCACGTAATCAAATAAAATGTAAACAATTAAACTTGATAAAAATGTGAGTACAAGTACTGTACATGTATCGTGATTTAATGCTCATTGCACGGCTTTCCTTTGTGTTCTCGCCTTGGCCAGCAGGAGGAAATATAATGCCTGCATATATACGTGAAGCATTTCACAGCTGATTTCGTGAACTGCGATAATAGTGGCCGTTTTTCGCAGAGGTTCAGAAAAATGACCGAGTATTGTATATAATTCACACGTGTTGCAGCACTGTGTTCAAATATCTGTTTTACTAAGGGTTAAAAATTCACGAGTCCACGACATCGATCTTAGTTTTTATTGGACCGTTTATGGAGTTTGGATCGGGACTTAGCATTAAGCTAGCTGACTCTTGTTTTACAAAGTTATGTGGTGTTTGATTCATTACACAGTGTAATTCTCCATGTTTCTAGTTAACATCAACTAGGAGTATTAATGAATTGTTTACATTTTTTAATCTTACAAACTGCTTTTTATGAAGTTACCTAAAACAAATGATGACAAATTAAGCAATTTAAGACAGGATAATTAGCTCCTACAAGCCCCCTCCCCCCCCCGCAAAAAACACTTAAGGTATGCCACTGTATTATACCATAGGCCTATACTGTATTGCACTGGTCACTTCTACACGTGTCGGCAAGATGATGGTGACCCTGCTATATACCGTAACCCTTTCCTATCTGGAAATGACCAATGTCGCTTCATTCAGCAGCCACCATTAATTTTTAAGTTACATTTTGACAATTGAATTTATTCTACTGCCAAGATTGTATCACACCGGGTCACATTTTGTTGAATATAGTGGGAATAACGTACTGTATAGAGAATTCTTTATTTAGTGGCCAATAATCGCCTGCCAGGTTTATTATTTTCATGACTTGATAAGAGAGACGATTGTTGTGTGCCATCAAAAGTCATGCTGGACTGCAAGTCTGCAACCCGTGTGTAAAGTCGGAAGCAATTGGATCTGAGACGGAAGTGTAGGAAATTTCCATCGAAATGAGATAATCAGCTACTGTTTGTGTCAAACACCCCTACTGTATGCATAACTAGTCATAAAGGGTGGGGTGAAAATTGTGTTCAAGTAGGATTCTCCTTTCTTTCTTTCTTTCTTTCTTTCTTTCTTAATGTATTAACTATACTTTTGTCGTTGCAACAATACACTTTATCAGACATTATGGGACCACGACAAAACGCAATAGTGATACATCAGCGATGTGTTTTATTGTGGAGGGATCAAACCGGAAATATACGGGGCCGCTTGAGCGTGTAAATAAAGGGCTAGGTTGTGATTTTAATAGACTCATACTGCGCGTACTAGGCTGCATACATAGCATTTCGTGATGGCAGAAACAAATCACTTGTCCGCTTACACTTAATATGCTCCCTGTCGCGGGGATAAGGGAGCCACCAGACCAGTCTCAAAATGACCACCGGCATCAGCCCCGTCTCCTGTCGGTTCGCAGATTATTTCGTGGTCTGCGGACTGGACACCGAAAGCGGGCTGGAACCAGACGAACTCTCCGGTAAGCACATTAGCCATCGTGGACATTTTCTTTGGGCTGATGCTGTCGCTGAGAACGAAATGAAAAGAGTACGACTCGGTCGGCCCTTAGCGTTTTAGGACAGATTTGGTCTGCTTTTGGTGTTTTTCTCTTCCAGACCCTATAACGTAGCGTATGTGGTGCTAATGTTAATGCTAGGCCTGGCATCGGTCCGTTTCCTCCCTTGTTTGTTTGCAATTCTCGGCAAAGAGCGACGGATTACCGATTTATGTGCATTTGTATTTAAAAGCCTCAAATGTCCTGTGGGTTCTAACACTCCTCTTTTCAAAACCAATCGAACATGTTATATACACACCATTGTATAAGATTTGGTCGGTGGTGTGATGTGCAGTTCTGATCTGATTGAAGATGCCATTACCAATGCGTTATTGAGCTGAAATAGAGACGAAGAGGCTGTTACCCCTGAGCAGAGATGAAAGTGGACTTTCCTGAAAATTCCAGGAAAAAATATAAAATTATATATACTCTGTGTATATATACTGTGTGTGTGTGTGTGTGTGTGTGTGTGTGTGTGTGTGTGTGTGTGTGTTTGCTGATCCTAAACTTTAAAGTGGGCAAACTAGGCCCCCCCCCCAAAAATAAAAAAATTAGAGGTGAGAGTAAATATTTTTATGGCACTGTATGTTGTTTGTGAAATTCTGCACTTGTCTTTCGTGAGAATGGTAAAGAATGATGTGGATGTCAGAACA